TCATTCATATTTTAGACTATTACATGGATAAAAGCAACATCAAACCAGTGATGTGCAATTCTTATAGGAAAATCAAGAGCAAAGCAATGTAAAGATAGAAACACAAACTTAGGTAAGTTTGATAAGATGTCGAAATTAGTTTCAAGGTTGCCACCAGCAAGTAACCACATGAAGGAATTACTGCATCCTTTGAATCTTTCAGACTTGAAAATAGTCACTGTATGTTGTGACGTTGAATGCTCCAAAACCTCGGACCTCATTGGAATGAGTCTCGTTGTATCTTCTGGTCCCAAACGAACCATCACAAAAGATAACAAGCGGTAAGGATTGCAATTATAATCATTGGCTTTGAAGCCAAGAGAAGAGTACTTCTCATAGAGAGGAGTTCTGATGGTAAAATTCTCTCCTAATATTAAGAGGATACGTGGAAAAGATCTCTCATGGTCCTGGGCATGAGGAAATTTGACTAATCTTTTTGGTAAACAAAAGACTAGAGGACTGCAATCTTCAAGCTTTGAAGAACTCCACATTAAAGACAATCTTACAAAGGCCTTTGCATTTGTTGGAGCTACTGGTCTATGATGACTTTGGCTTGAACTCTGTTGGTTAACACAAGTGACTGCACCAAAGAGATAACTAAGAAGTTCTAATCCCAAATTGCATATCTCGGTTGATTGGCTCTCCATCTCTAATTTCATAATTTCTTTTGACCATGAAGAGCACGAGACTGAAGGGTCCATGGGATAAGATGGTTGTTGGGTGCACAAGGCACTGAGTGGGAAACATGGATGTGTTAACTTCGATAAAGAGGAACAAACAGACCTTATAATGGCATCCTGAGAAAAGAACTTGACTAGATTTGATGAGAAACTGAGAGTTGAGTTCCAGCAGAAACTTGGGCTTCCAACATTACCGTGTCGGCTCCAGAGAATATTCACAGAACACAAATAGACCCGTTGGTCATCAAAATCTAACAAGCTGGGCATGACAGGGCAAATACCAGGAGCTGTATATCTGATAAACGTTTGCGGTGAGAGGAGGCTGGTCAATCTTGATACCTACAAGTTGAGTTTTGTAGTGAATCCATCAAGACATGGAATAAACAAGTAAAACCTTCGGCTAAACTCAATAACCTTTCAGAGTTCATTCATCACCAAGAGAGAACTCTATCTACTGCTTTTGACTGTTTTAAACTATAATTTACTATATAGGATTACTTCTTCTACAAGATAGACAAAATTACACGGTTTTAGGAAGAGATTTACTTGTCGGCTTGAGTTTTGTCCGGTGACGCAGAAGAAAGTGTTTGGAGACGACGGATAATCCTGTCTCAGCTTCTTAACGAGTACAAATCCTGAAAAAGTTGTTGACGTTTTAACGTCAAAAACAGTCAGATTCTTTAGTATACTCTAACCGTGAAACAATATGTAACATTCCTATTTATAATATATGAAAAATATTAAATTTATTGTTTTATCTCTAATTAATATATTTTTTATTTGATTATTTAAACTAATAAGCTAAAAGATTAAGGATAAGATTGGAAAACTAACAAATGAATGCATTGAAAACATAAAATGATACTTAAAATGAAATAAAATTGTAATTCTAAGATGACAACTAATATGAAATGAAGAGAGTAGTATAGATGTAAATTTAGTTTTGATTTGAAGATTATTTCAAAAGGGAAAGATCGAATTCCGGTGGCTAATTTTTATCTCCACCTTCACTTTTTTCTGAATTAATTTCAATATCTATTTTTATCCTATGTCGAGTGTATTTACTATGAATTGTTAGCAGATGAAAATATTGTATTTCATATGAGAATAAGACAAAACGATATTCTTTTGTTATCAAGAATTGCCATCATTTTTAGTCATGAAATATAGGTTTGTGTTTATGGTTTCTTGTGCTTTCACAATTCTCGTTCTAAGCAATGTTAAAGGTAAAGTTTTTTTGCATTATTCATTGTTTATCTAAAAAATTCTACAAGTTAACAATCTTTTGAGATTGATATAACGCAGTAGAGGTGGAAGCAATGAAAAAACTTGGGTGCAACATCACACGCCATTTTCCTGGAGCATGCGGAAATAATGGAAAGACTACGTGTGTAAACGACTTCAACAAAATGCCTTCGAAGCCAAAAAATATTGGAATGAGTTGTAATTGTACAAATTTTGTCCACCCTCTTGGGCGAGTGCCTCCCCAACGTATATGTGCATGCTTATTTGATTGTTAAATTTTACATATCTCTATAAACAGCAAGAGATTAAATTAATTGAGAGTTTTTGGCGTAGACCTGACAGAAAAAAAAACAATAACTACTAATTTGCTGAATTAGATGATTTACGATTCAAAATAAATATAATTGTAGCTAATAAATGTGTAATAGTTATCTTTTATATATATACTCCTTCCGTTCCATAATATAAGATGTTCTAGAGAAAATTGATGTTTCAAAATATAAGATATTTTGATATTTTTAAGGTATTTTAACTTTATAGAGAACCGGTTGACCAATAATATTTTAGTTTATTATTTATGATTGGTTAAATTATTTTAAATTTATACTATCAATGATGTTATCTTTTAAAAAGTTAAGTTTCTTAATTTTTGTGCTTTGGATAAAACATCCTATATTGTGGAAAGGAAGGAGTAAATATATATGAGAGTTTGTTTTCTCTTCAATGATTCTACACGCGGATAAGGAATATTAGTTAATGAATGTAACAAAACATGCAACATATTTATCACAAATCAGTCACTGTATTCTATTACAGATTTAGTTATCTAGATATTAATGCCGGTCCTAATAATTATATGGCTAAAATAATAAATAAATAAATGTGGCTAGGTATTGGACTCAAAATCAAATCCATGAACTCAAGGTCTATCGAAGGAGTAAATGAACAGGCCCGCAAAGAAATTAAGGAATCAAGTAAGAATGAGGCCAAGGCCAGTAGTGAGGTCCATCCCCATATCATGATGTCGCATCGTGGTCAACAAATGGTACGAGGTCGAAGTAGGAACCTGAAGATTGCAGAAACAGTTAGAGGAGGAAGAGAACTATAAAAAGAAAGCTATAGTAGAATTGAACACACACAGAAAAACCCTAGAGCTATTCACTAATCACATCGACCTAATTCTTTAGATTTCTAGTTCGCCTTCTTGTACCTTTTGTTGTTATTTCCGATCTTTTTCATCACTTTGCAAACAAATTCCATATTCAATAACAGTCTATTTTTGTCAACCGAAGTCCAATTATATCGTTGTGTTTAAGAGCATTGTTGCCCACATCCTTTGTCTTTCCCTGAATGAACTCTCGATCTCTACAAAATACTGAGTGTGGATTTTAGGATTTACATTTTGGCGCCGACTGTGAGGGAGATAAACGAAAGACGCCCTTCGTAAGAACCCAATCTTGGATTTCTAAGCACGGTTATGGATCCTAATCGAACCCGATCTGTATATCCCAAAAGAAAATCAGCTGAACACGATTCTTCAAGGACCGCTGTCATCACGCCATCAGAGAAAACGTGACCATCTGATAACGATACTGGCAGTCCGTACAAAAGGAGAGCTCAACACCAAGAAACAATACCCTCCAAGGATGGACAGCCATTAAAGGCCGAAAGAGGAACCAACGTCGCTGAGGAGATTCCGGCCCATAAGGGAATTCCGGCCCAGAAGGGAACTCTAACCTTCCATTCCCACCTTGTTTCCATTACAGAGCACATATGTGAATATGAATTATCTATTCTGGAGGAAGAATGCCTTGCTGGAACTAGAGATGGACATGGATCCTTATCCTTGGCTAATTTGATATATTTGGAAGGTTCGGAACGATAAATTGTTCAGGAGAATTGATAGAGACCCTTTGGAGTTAGTCCGTTATGCAGAGAGTGAGTGTCAAGCCTGGTTCCAAGCAAATGAACATACTATATCACCATATCAAGGAAACATAGATATTGAAAGCCAGGTCAGAAATTTTCATGAGTGGCCGAGTTTCTCAATGGAGTTGGAAAAACTAACGACGCTGCAGATTTGCTTCCCAGATTTTAAGATTTTCTATGTTCATAGGACGCATAATGGAGTTTCTGATTCTTTAGCTAAATTCGCTCGATCCCTCTATCGAGAGTTATTAACGTTGGTTGTTCTATTCCGGTATGGCTTCCCAGACCAACTCAAACTTGAAAAAAAAAAAAAAAACTCTATCAAATAAAATTACTCCGGTGCAGAGTTCGGATATCACCTAATTTCCTTATAAATGAAAGAAAAAAAAAAATCCTCTCATCAGTTTTGATGAGGAATGGATCGAACACAAATTCATATGTACAGATTTATTCAATTCTTCAACTGAATTCTTTTTTCTTCAACTGAATTCTTATTCATTGTTTTCTTCCTTTTTCCGTTCAATTAAACTGTCATCAATTGATGCGTAAATGTTATTGTACAAAATTGTTTACCTTACGGCAATCTTTTTTCTTTTATTTGTATTTTATCCTGAGCAGTAAAATTATGTAGAAACTAACAACAATCTATATTTGATTAAGCAAAATGAAACAGATTGTTGAAACTGGATACAAAATTAGAAAGAAAGAGATTGTGATTATGCTACTAATTCCATGAAAAAATGTTGTTAGCGACCATTAGAGAGTTGAGTTAGAAGACGCAATTTAGCTCTTTGATGAAGAATACACCAACAACATTTTGTTAGCCTCATTAATAGTTATGTGTGCATCAGAATATGAAAATATCCTAAACAACATTTTCCCAATAATCACAAGACAACTATACAAAGTCGTTTTCTGATTACAGGAACCGATGGAACCAGAGTCTGTTGAGTAAAGAGACGCTGTGAAAACTGAGGAAAAAAACCTGAAATCCCAATAAATACCAGCTTCAGCTTCTCTAAGCCACACTCAAAAGCATTTTCAATGTTGAACCAAAGACAATGATATAAGACTTTCAAATCTCCCATTGGCTCCTTTTAAAGACATCTAGCTTGATGAGCTCGGCTCATCCTGGGCCTCCTGGCTTGGTTCTGGTTTGACTTCTTCTGCTTGGGTCTCGGATGGATTAGGCTTCTTGAACTGGACCAAAATGATGGTCATATTATCACAACCTTCACCACTCGCAGTGTCTGGAGCCAAACATCTATCAACAATCTTTTCACATACCGTTGAAAGCTTTGTTTCCTGAAAAGTTATATCAAATGTAACGTACCCATTCAGTGAAGGAAAACTGCAATAGAGAGAGGAAGAGAAGGAAATAGATTAACTTACAGATTTTAACTGTTCATGGATAAAATCCACCAGTTGCTGGCTTGTCATACAATCCCTGAGGAAGATGATAGATCTCAAATTCATCATTAAGGAGATAACTTATATATACAAAAGGAAACAATTGGGGAATTATTTACCAGATTCCATCACATGCAACAACAAGAAACTCATCATCATCACATAGGTCAATCTGAGGAGATAACACAAATAACAAATCAGCTAAAAGAGAAAACCAAAATCAAAGCACAAAAATACAAAAAGTCAGGTAGATTCTTACGGCGTTTATATCTGGATTAGCAGTAACCATTTGCTTGTCAGATGTTAAGAACTTATTCTGCTTGAACTCCATGTCACCTGTAATGAACCAGAAGTTGATGCTCCAAAACAAGAATATGCTTAAAAAAAGCTCTAAGGAAAGAAAAAAAAAAGCTTTACCAATGGCTCTTGTCAGATTCAAGCTTCCATTAATACGCCCAGCATGAATAAAGCCACCAGCCTTTAATATCCTTTCCTTTTCAGCTTCAAGATCAGGTTTGTGATCTTTAGAAAGATCAAAAGCCTGACCTTTCCTCGATATCACACAACGTGAGTCACCGGCATTTGCAACAAAGAGCTTCTTATCTTTAATAAGAGCTACACACGCTGTGCACCCGCAAGTAGGTCCAGCGAAATCAGAATGAGGACCCTGTTTTCAAAAAACAAAGGCACAGGTTTATAAGATCCCACTTCAAGACATAGCAAAACACTAAAGTATGGTTTACATACATCCTCAAGAGGCCAATTATCAGGCTGGTTATTGGCGTCACCACCGCTTCTTGGTGACCATATGAACCCTTCAATCATGCCGCTAAACTTATTCATCTTGTCACCAAGTGCAGCTAACTCTCTCCACCCTCTCTGTCCTTGCATCATGTCATCCATTCTACAATATCCACAATGAACACTTTTTTTTAAAGTGAAACCCTCTTTTTCTGCTGTAATATACAAGAAGGCGGAAGAGAAACAAAACCTAAAGAATGCTCTTTGAAGAGATGTTTCAATGTCTCCAGCTCCATATGCTTGGTTACTGAGAACCTGCTGGTGTAGATACTTTGCACAGAACTTAGCAACAACTTTACCTACACAACTTAGTAAAAATCCTACTTTCAATTCCATATCAAACAAAAACCTTATGATTTTAGAAGTAGAGTGGCAGTAGTTACTTTACCTCCATGACCATCATACACACCGAAGAAGGATGTTTTATCATCCAGATCAAGAATTGCAGCATGCTAGCAAAGATTAAACCAGTTACAATCAGGTAAATTAACATTCATGGTTACAGTTTCATATGATATGATGATGTTTTGACTCTCACCGCATCTTCCATGGTGGCACGCCAACCTTGCATAGAGCATGAACCATATCTAAGCATATCATTCTCACCTTCTTCTGATAACTTATCAGTTTTGGGAGTACTTAGGTAAGTCCCCATCTTTTTTTTTTCTGCAAGTTTCAACAAATCAGAATCTTTAAAGAATCAATTCTCAGTAATCAAAATCCAGAAATAAATCTAAAGCTTTAAAGAATCCATGTAGAATAAATAGAAACCTAATCAAACTAAGACCTAGACAGAAAAGGGGTTTGAATTGATTCGAACAAACAAGAAACTACTTACGACAAAGACAACGATTCAACCTCAAAGATTCAGATACTAAAGGTTTATGGGAGAAAGATTTGCAACTTACAATCTTATAGAGTAGAAGAGAAAAAAGGAAAAGCCTTTTTATGAGAACCAAAGAAACTCGATCGGGGACGAGAAGACCAACCAAAGTTGAAGCTACTTGAGATCAGATGTACTAATCCTTTATGGAAAAGAGGTAAAATAAAAATAAAAAAAGAAATACGAGAAAGTGTTTTCCTTTTTTTTTATTTTTTCTTTGCCGAAACGAAACGAAAGGTTTTAACTTTTAAACCCTTTTTTCATGTTCAACTTTTAAACTAAATCTCTTTTTTTTTGAACGGCTTACTTTTAGCTAAATCTTTACAGCTTCTTTTCTTCGTCATTACAGCTTCCACAATGTGTGTGTTTATTATCAAAGGAAACAGCTATACCAAAAAAAAAAAAAACTAATTATGGATTTGCATTTTGCTGGACGTGGTGGTGTCTTTTTGTAGGGGCATTAGTCAATCTTACCTTTCATATAAACTGTATGTCGTTGCTTGGATCCAGAGACCTATCTATAATAGTGTGGAGCACATATTGTAAAAAGTAGAAAAGAAACTAATATAAAAATATATACATATTGGGAAATTTGCAAATATTAGGTTTGATCAAACTCATCAACTGCCTATGCAGATGCGCTATTGAAAATGTGACTATTGTTTCATATAATTATATTCTTGTGAGTTTCGATTTAAAACATAACTATATATAACATTTTAAATTATCAGATGAAAATTATTTAACGAACATATACAACTGAGAAAATGTTGGGATATTTTTTACGGAAAAAAGTAATTGCAAAGTGCTTAGTGGTAAAATATTTATTCGAAAATATTATAAAAAATAAATTGTATCAACAAAAACTTGTTCAAGAAAAAAATGTGCAAAAAGCAAACCGCTTATATGACATGCTACTCCTTTTCTTTTATTAATTTTGTTACTTTTAAGATAAGTAGATATTAGGTCCGTATAATCTAAATACCTGTTTGCACTACAAGAAAACACGTCTTTTACTAGGACGGGTTTTCCTCGTTATTTCCTAGTAAATGGACCTTTACTAGGAAATAACGAGGAAACGTGTTTCGTCGAAAGAGGTTCATCGTAAAGCCTATTTTCCTCGTAAAGGCCTAGCTAATTTACGAGGAAAGCTTTCCTCGTAAAGCCGTGGAAAAGATTTCCTCGTAAGCTCCACGTATACTTTCCTCGTAAGGGCATAGTAAACTATTTCCTCGTAAACTCATAGTAGACCTTTCACGAGGAACTTGCTAGGAAAGTTTACGACGAATCCCACACCGCGGTTGTGAGGCAATCGGGTTTCCCGCGCTCGTAACCGTTCACCTGATTTGAAATAATTAGAATTAAAGTCAATAAAATATATTTTTAAGTAAAACTATAATTAATATATATTATAATTTTTAAATTTATACTTGAAAGTCGCCCTTCCAGTTGTAGACCATGTCGCACAATCGTGCTTTTGCCTTGGTCTCGAACTCTGACTTCACCCGCTGGTGAATCCCAATAGACCAACGATATTTTTACTGCAACCAGAAAAAATAAAAGACGGATTAGTTCAATAAAATTCATAATTTTAAATGATTAAAAATAACTAAATTGATTTACTAAACTTACAGCGAACGATTTGAACCACGTCTTTTTGGTGTGCCTCGCCGTCAGCTTCCAGTTTGGAGCTGCATCGGGAAAGTATCCCTTGATACAGTCCGTGACGCTAGATCCGACAGCATTGTCAAGACCAAACCTGGAAAGACAGAAAATAAATCATTAATTAGAACATATATATACATACCATAACACTTTTTAAAAATTATTTAATAAAAAAATTTTAAAATTAAAACATACCATAANTGCATCGGGAAAGTATCCCTTGATACAGTCCGTGACGCTAGATCCGACAGCATTGTCAAGACCAAACCTGGAAAGACAGAAAATAAATCATTAATTAGAACATATATATACATACCATAACACTTTTTAAAAATTATTTAATAAAAAAATTTTAAAATTAAAACATACCATAATACGTTTTGGCCGTCCCGCCGGAGAGGATCTAACTCTGGTAGCCCTTCTCTGCCTGGAAGGGCCAAGATATCCTCCACCGTGTACACCGCAAATGGTGCGTTCGGAGGCACCTGCAAGTCAGGATGAATCCCGACCGGTGGCTGAGGAGGTGGCTGCTGAGGAGGAGGCTGAGGAGGTGGCTGCTGAGACCGGGATACCGTAAAACCTCCCTGGGTCTCGGGAACTCCTGAAGCTGAACCACCGGGAGCTGATGAAGACGAACCGGACCCGAATATATCCGCATAATGAATCCCCTGATCTACAGGCCTCTTGGACTGAGCAGCAGCAAATTTGCTCTTTCTAACCATCTAAATTTAAAAAAAAAAAACAGAAAACAAAAACAGTTAAACAAACGTAATTTAAAATTCATAATCGAACCACCTAATCTAAATTCCCTAAACTAACCACCTAATCTAAATTCCCTAAACTAACCACCTAATCTAAATTCCTAACTAGGAACTAGAGAGTACCTTAAGAGAAAATGGAGAGGAAGTTACTATGACTGAGAAGTCGGATTGCTCGTGTATATATAAGGAATTTTGTTTCCTCGTAAAGCCCTAGTAATATTACTAGGGCTTTACGAGGAAACAGCTATGCCCGTGTTTCCATTTCCTCGTAAGGTCCTAGTAAGGTCCTAGAAATATTAGCACTAGGATTTTACGAGGAAATCCTTTACGAGGAAATAGCTATGCCCGCGTTTTTTTCCTCGTAAAGTCCTCATAATGCTTACGAGGAAATAGCTATGTCCGTGTTTTCTATTACTAGAGCTTTACGAGGAAAGGGTTTGTAAATCCCTAAACCTTAACCTTAAACCTAATTAAACCCCAAACCTAAACCTTAAACCTAATTAAACCCTAAACCTAAACCTTAAACCTAATTAAAAAAAACTAAAAGAAGTATACAGTCATCGTAACGGTTTTTATCAACCCCACATAGCTTTCCTCGAACTATCTACCCGAAGAAAAACCCCAAGCTATTTCTTTGAGGAAAAGTTACGAGGAGTTGATAAGAAACTATTATGTTGACTGTGAACTCCTTTCAGTTATGAATTGAGTATTTTCTATTTGTTTGGTGTGTTTCAAATGAATCACATATGGTGGTATTTATAGAAATTTTCGAATATGAGAATTTACTAAGAAATTGCTAGGAAAAGTAGGTACAAATTTTAAATTCGATATTTTCTATCTAGTTCCTCTTAATTTCCTAGTAACATATTAGACTTAATTTGTGGTAATGCATGCATAAAATTTAAGTAATAATAAATATCTGTTTCCTCAACCACTTGATAAAGTGTTGATCTTTCATTTTGTCTAACTCAGGTGTCGATATACCAGGTATTGCTTCCTCGACTTGAGTCACAAATTTGCTGTAAAATCATATATATATGTTATGTTATATATATTTAATATTGAAATATATATATATATATATAACTATGTATGTTTATAAATTTACCTTTCAAAATAAGCAATCAATGGATGCTCGCAACTAAGAAGAATATAAAGGTGTGCACTATGGACGTCTTCATCACTCGACCACCAAATCTCTTTCAATTTCCCACCCAATCGCCCAATTTGACAAAAGATGTCTGGAACATCGTCCTCCATATATGTTGGCACGACACCACCATCATCATATCTTCTCGGAGCTCGCTTCCTTGTACGTACTTTCGGTGCAAAGTAGTAGGA